GCATTCGCATTCTTCCCAGGACTAATGCCCAAGATAAAAGTGACAATTGTTGCTAATGAAATAAGTTCAATTCAAGAAGGAAACTAGTAGCTTTGTCTCTTAGATCATACGATGAATGTTATGCACTTCTGTGCCTGATTCTTTCAGGAGACAAGTCTCTGTGGGTTTACAAGAAGGAGTAAGGTGGCACTTAAAGGGTTATTTAGGAACCAAATAACATCATCAAAGATCAAAGATGTGGTTTACCAGGAAGGAAACTACCTTGTCAAACTTAGGTCATTATGACTCAAGAGGAGGACCAAGGAGTGAAAGAGAAGGAAATTTTGTATCCCACCCCCCTGAAGAAGTTCTGCAGCTTTGATCAGTGAGAAACGATAAATTAACAGATAAATATTTTTCTCATGTTCCCTGATGAAAATCTTATATGAGGGGACAAGTGGGCTATTAATCAATCTGGTTATGTATTTTCTTAGTAACTGTTCATTACATCCTACAAAATTAACATGATTACAGGACCATGATTCATCATGCTTCCGAGCCAGCCTGCCTGAGGTTAAATCCTGGCCCTGGGAGGTATAAGATCCTGAGTCAAATGGAACTGTTGTGAGGATTATATAGTTTAATATATGTAAAGTATTTAGGACAGTGTTTATTCAAAAGTAGGCTCTCAATAAATCATGGCATGTTAAATATTACTGATATTATTATCATCTGGATTATATTTGCAAAGTCAATATTCTAGAACGTAGCCACCCAAACATTGCTTCACTGTGGAAATGGTGTCCAAGTTTCAAGTTGGGATTCAAGTGATAAACTACCTTCAGTTGAATGTTCTGCAGACAGGGGGAAAATGGCTTTCTTTTTTGCAGGTCAGAGACATTGGACTGGTGGTGCGTACTGGCCATAGAGACAGGAAAGAGAGAGAATGGGAGGGTCCCAGCTACCCCAGGAAAGCCACGGGTGGTGTGGGGGGGACATCATGTTAAGGTCTGGGATGGGCTGAAGCATCAGCTTCATCTAAACGATGTTATGAGGTGAGCGTTTGTAAGACTGGGACTGGTCTGTCACCATCCTCTGTGGAAAATAATTGGTTTCCTGTCATTTTATTTTGTGTCTGCATGTTGAGTGTGTGTGTGTGTGTGTGTGTGTGTGTGTAATCCCGGTAAATATGATTTTTTTTTTCTCAGATACTGTACTTCCTTCTGCTTAGTTTCCTTATTTTCTATCCCTGTGGGATTGGATAATCTTCCAGGCGAGTCTCAAGGAGATTGTTGGAGTAGGAAGGCACAGAATTTGGCTCTCTCCAGTAAGGAAGGAGAGTGTGACTGAGGGGTGGTCCTAAAATGAGGACTGCTGCCCAGTGCCCACTCTTGAGTGCTCAGGCCCCCAGATGCCTTGGCTTGGCACTGAAGGGTGTGATGGCAGACACTAACTACAAGAGCCCCATTTATGTGGCTTTTACAATGTAAAATTGCTTATCTCACGTCATCCTTACAACAACTCTATAAAGCATTATGGCCATTCCCATTTTACAGATGACAAAACTGCAGCTTAGTGAGATTAAGTCACTACCCAGGTGACATAAATAGAGTGCTGGCAATGTGTCCACAAAGTTTGAGCTTGTAATCATCTCAGGCAGGCTCCTTTCTAAGGTTCTGTCTGAACTCGTTATCTACTTATATCCAATTTCTCCAAATGTGCAAACCCTTCTTAAGTCATAGCATCTTAAAGAGGGACAACAATATTAAGAACTTGCAGCTCCTATATGACCACATACTCTTTTCTATACACCTTTTCTTTTTTTTTTTAAAGATTTTATTTATTTATTTGACAGAGAGAGACACAGCGAGAGAGGGAACACAAGCAGGGGGAGTGGGGGAGGGGAGAAGCAGGCTTCCCGCGGAGCAGGGAGCCTGACTCAGGGCTTGATCCCAGGACCCCGGGATCACAACCTGAGCCAAAGGCAGATGCTTAACCGACTGAGCCACCCAGGTGCCCCTCTACACATATTAATATTCTGAATTTCCATTTCCCTACAGTGGGGCTCTATGTGTCTCTTATGCCTCCGTGACTCACACGTACTCACACAGGCTAAGCTATTTAGTCTCCGTGCTGGTAAGTTTAAAAAGTCATTATTAATGAGCTTTAAGGTTGTACGAAATGTTAACTGGAGTGTTTTTAGAAATCAGATGTTCCTAATCTACAGGAACTAGAAATAAAAAGAAGCTGAGGGTTAGCCCCTCTACAGTGACAAGAAATGCCTTGAACACTGTAGGAGAAAAGCCCGTGTCCTGCCCTGAACACTCCGTCAGGCTTTGCCCCAGCTCGGTAGGCATCACATAGGCAAGTGACTTCACCTCTCTGGGCACCACTTCTTCATCTGTCCAGGGGAGTTGGAGGGGTTGACCTAACAATCCCACTGACACTTTGAGATTCTCTCAACCCTATTCCTTTTCCGCTGAGGACTTGAACTCTTTAGGTTTCTGTGAATGCTTCAAATGGGTTTTCTGGCAGGAGTAGTGAGAGATTTGAGACAAACTGGAAGAGAACCCTGCAGGCTGGGTGAAGCAAAGACCATGAGATTGTCATTTCTTTCTTTGATGTAACTTTCACTGAGTAGGCAGCTGCCACAGGAACGGGGCTGAAGGTTATTGGTTATCGAGTCTTTGTTTCAGCCAAATCAACAATAAAGCATGGTTCCTATGGGTCTTGGGATCTGGAAATCCCTTTGCTACACACAACCCTGTGCTGGAAATGATAACACGGGGCTCTGTTCAGAAATGGATTCCCAAATCCTGGCAGGTGGTCCCAGAAACAGTGCTTGCTGATCTGGTTTCACTGAATCCTATTAAACATCCCTACCCCCATCTTTTGTGTTCAGTGGTTCTTTTCAGAGGAGCAGTTACTTGGGGTAAAAGCAAAAACAAAAACACAACACAAAACAAAACAAAAAACTATTACGGGTACTGAGGGACATAGCTTTTAATGTGATTTCAATATGGCTTCACGGATATTTGTATTTTTGTGGGTTTTCCCCCTTCTAAGACTACTTAAGATGGGAAGTGGAAGAGCAATGTTCTTGGGATGATGATTAGAAAGGGGACAAGGGAATGAGTAGAAAATTGGAAACAAAACTTTCAGGAGCGGTGATGGGATGAAGTATCACTTGAAGGAACTCCAGCACCCCACCCACGCCCCAAAAAAAGATGTTAAGGGAAACTCAGAGGCTAGGCCTCTAAGACTCAATCAAAGGCAGTATTCCTAAAAGTACCTTAGAAAGGTTGACACCTTTAAGTAACACCACCACCCCAACACAGCCCCAAGAGAAGGTTGTTATAAAGAAGAGCCATACGAAATTCATTATTTGAACTCCTGAGGGATGATGCGTCTCTTCTAGCAGGATTTAACAAAGGAATTCAGTCATCTCAGTATGAGGAAAAGGCATGCTTCTTCTCTAAATCATCTGTCTGATTTTTCTTACCAATACTGTGAAACTTATCATGGATCAGATCCTTTCTTTCCTTTAGTCACTAAGAATTCTCAGAACAAAATTTAGTCACTGTAAGTGATACTATACACTTCAGTATGTTTTACTTTTTCCTCTCCTGTTTCCCTTTTCTCTTAATATCCTCAATTATTTATATTTATTCTTATAAGCATCTATGAAATCTTTTGTGGAAGGAGGTAGGTATATACCTACATACCTATAAACATGGAATTGTAGATAGAGGTAGACATAGATTAAGGACGGAAATGGCTATGAGGTGCTTTCTGTGCAGACATGTGTTTATTTGTCGATGGTCCTCTCTGTGTATAGAGATTGCTACTAATGTCAGCCAACAGTGCGAAAACTTTCAAATAATCTTTGATTTGAGATAATCTTAAAAAAAAAACCCAAAAACAACTGGTAGAAGCTACTTGTGAGACATTTTTGCTTAAGGGGCAAGACATTGGGGTAAGATTATTCTTTGAGCATCTGGTCCTTTGGAGAAATCTGGAATATAGGTTTACCTCCCTCCTTAACAGCATTAGGGACTCAGACACAAGGCATTCATTTCTTTTGTTCACAACAGATTCTAAGGATCCAGTGCCCCAATTCCACAGAAGTTCTTTTCTAAAAACCCTGTGCCCTTCCCAGAGACAACCGGGAAAGGCTTTGCAAAACAAACCACCATGTTTCATAAATGTACACAAGTGTGTATGAAGACTCCAAGACAACTGCAAGGCATGACCCATGAGTACTGACTATAGATAAAATCTTCCTTGGCAACGATGTCAAAGTCGGCAGACCTAATGGTTTTGGATGGTGCTAGAGGATTCCTCTAGCTGGACCAGGCTCTGCCATTTGAGTGTGGCCTTGAAGAAGCACAACACATGCTCTGAGACTGCTGATTTCTGAACTTCTCATTTGGTTGTGGGTACGCATGTCTAGATGGGCAGCAATGTCTGTGGATACAAGAGTGGTTGCAGCAACTGAACAATTATAAAGCTACAGATGCCCCCTTGCAGAGCTGTGCTTCTGGAAGTGAGATCTGTGAACCACCTGATTTACAATCACCCAGAAGTCTGGGGGAGCTGCTAAAAGCACTGATTTCAGGGTGTCACTCTAGCCCTAATAAATCAGTATATTTGATTTAAACTTATTTTAATACCCGTCCCTGTGCCCTGCCCAGTGATTAATAAAATCTATCTCTATAGAAGCTATGAAATAGTTCTAATCCTAAAATATAATTTGTTGAATTTTCAGAAGTGACAGGATAGCTCTAGTTTGTCCTCTTTAAAGAGATAACAGGTGGCAAGAAGTCAAATTATGAGCAGTAATTCTAGAACAAAGCAGCCAATTTAGAAAGGTGAATTCAAATTCAGAATTGGTAAAGTTAGAATAGAAAGCATGGCTTCCTGATGAAGGTGGCGGGTTTTTGTTAGGAGTCCACCTAAAACCAACCTGATGTAGGAGAAAGAAAAAATGAGCATCTCTCTTTTTAAAGTGTAAAACTTACTGCCACCTTGCTTTATCCCTTAAGGAATTTTTCCTAGAGCTGTTGCCTTCACTGGGACTGTCGTCGTCCTCGGCCTCCAGACTTCGGCTGCAGCTCCTGATGATCTGAAAGATGCCGTTGACAGTGGACTCCTTCTCTGAATTCTTTAGGCCATTATGTCCCACTCGTTGTAAGAAATTATCTTGTCCACTATAATCGGCTACGAACTACAGAAAAACATACCATGAATTTGTGATTGCAATTTCATGTACTATGTCTAAATAACCTACTTGGGTAGGGAAATAAAATCGCAGTAGTCATAAATAACGGCATTTGCGTCTATTTTATTGAAAGAAAAAGAAAGAGCCTCCAGGAAAAACATTTTTTCGTTTCACCACATGAATTATTAGAATTCATTCTTGTTTCCACTAAGACAACTTTAGTCTCTCTAGGAATCAACACCCCATTTCAAATTTACAACACAAAAAGCAATATTATTTCAAGGTTCCCCAGGGAGAAGATAGCCACTTTACAGAAAACTGGTAGGGTTGTTTTATCCTGGTAGTGAGAATCGAACAAAACCATGACAAAAGTCTATTAGTCTATGGAACCAGATAAAATTCCTGGGGCCCAAGGAAAACACTGAGAAAGGATGACGTTTTGCTTTATTTCCCTTATATCCTATAGTAGCACAGAGGCTTCCTGATGGTTTTAAATCTCTTATGGTCTGTATTCAGGATCAGAAAGTTCTTCCCATTCAACATAAGAGCTCTCACTGCGCCACTGGATGTGGCATTCCCGGCTTCTAAGATATGAGGGAGCCGGTGTGGGTACAGCTTGGAGGGCTTGCTATAAGCTTTCTCCTCCATTTAGTGCACCTTTATTTTCCTGCATAAGCCAGAGAGATGCAAGCTGGTAGTGGTGCCTGTACCTGCCAGGGGCTCTTTAGTCTCCCTGATAGCAGGTGATGACCTGGTTCCCAGGTGACACAGAAGAGGCTGAAGTTTTAGGAGTTGTCTCATGGCCACTGAGAAAGGTGGGATATGGGAGTGTGAGTGTGTGTGTGTGAGGTCAGTAGTGGTGCTCTTGCCAAATGGAAATGACCCTAGATTTGGGTTTGGAACTGCCAGGTATGGGGAGGGAAGGGGAGAAGGGTGGGGGGATGAGGTCACTGGGTGATGGGCACTGAGGGCACTTCATGTAATGAGCACTGGTTGTTACACGCAACTGATGAATCACTAAACTTTACCTCTGAAACCAAGAAAAAAAAAATCTTGGGAAAGTTCTCCCCAATTCAGTCCCTTCTTTCATTTCTAAACACCTTTTTCCAATTTCTCAAAGCCCGTTCTCTCCAATTCCCGATGCCCCGAGTCAAAGTTCACAGGGTCCTCTCCCCTCTCAGAGTCAGGAACAAGAAGTCACGGGCCTGGGAGAGCTGAGGCAGCTGTGATCAGAGCCTGGAGCTCGTCTTTCAAGGAGAGGCCAGCTTCTCCAGCATCTTCCCACAAAGGGGGAAAGCAAGGCAGTACTGACCTCCCGTCATGCTTTATCCCTCTAATTCCAAAAAGTTAGTACTCTCACTTGACTTTTTTTTTTTTAAGATTTTATTTTATTTGTCAGAGAGAGAGCACAAGCAGAGAGAGTGGCAGGCAGAGGGAGAAGCAGGCTCCCCACTGAGCAAGGAGCCTGATGTGGGACTCGATCCCAGGACCCTGGGATCATGACCTGAGCCAAAGGCAGACGCTTAACCGAATGAGCGTTAAGCATCTGCCAGGCGTACCTCACTTGACTTCTTTTATCCTTGGCATCCAGACATTCCCATCCAATGAGAGAAGAAAACCCCATCATCCCTTAAAAATCAGAAAACAACACCCATTTCCACTTGTACTTAAGCACTGCCCCATTAAAGCTAAGTTAACGAGATTAAGCCCCAAACAGTGCTAGCTGGCATTCTTTTCTCCAGAACTTCCCAGGACCTAAGTGTTACCCAACACAACAGCAACAATGGCTAACATAGGCTCAGCAGGCTCTCTCTTCTGGTGACAATGACTCTCAGATTTTGAAAGGCCTCACCTCTAGAGTTTCTTCTTGGGAATTGTACCTCGGGCAAAGCTTCATGAGGCCAGAGGCTCCATCCAGTACTTCACAGAGCTCCTTCAGAAACACCCCACAGAAGGGAACCACCTTACAGCCGGGTATGTGCAGGGCCCGCGTGACCACCTTCCTGTACTCGCAGGAAGATTCGTGCTGAGCCATGGCGTCCTTCAGGCTCCTCATGGTCTCCAGGTCAGACTGGTCCATAAACTGCCACATTTTTAAAACTTTTCTTGACCTATTACAAGTAAATGACGTTTTTTTTTTTTTTAGATAAAAGGAGAAATAATATCGTCCACAGTATATAGCCTAAATTCCATACAAATCTACTCTTTTTGCCTCAGTTTTCCTTATGTTGTAATATTTATTTAGGACTCATATCTCCACCTACTTCCCCAAATGATGTATTACTTTTAGAAACTGAAACACAAAATTAAGTAGGACAGATACAAATAACACGTATGAAAGGAGTTAATTTTGGAAGGTGGGCACTGAACCTAGGTTTGAGCTTTTCTGGCAGCTGTAGCCAAGAGGGAAACCTAGTGGGTAATATGGTTTGTACAGATATTTATGGAGGATTGTCTGCAGAAAACATGGTCCATCCACTCCTCTTGATCTTTTAAATGTTATCCTTAGATTAGGCCAGTCCCTCAGTGAAATACATAAACCCTGTTTTGGCCTCTTTTGTACAACTGCTTTTACTAAATCCAGCTTTGACATTAAGCCACTGGCCCATCCTGAGGGACATTATCTTAAAATACTATTTACATAACAGGATGTTAAATGGGAGTTTTCCTATGATGAAATTGCTGCTGAGAACAACAGGTGACATTGTACCCCACCTCCTAAATAGAGGCACCAGGTCGTCATAAGGGTACCCAAACTGCTCTGCCATCTGTGGTCTATAACTGTCCATCAGCCTGTGCAGAGGAATTGAATCTGAGCAGTCGGGAAGGGGATATTTCTCTGGATAGAGTTGTCAGAGCGTGATATGTGAAGGGAGAAGGATCACCCCCAGGGCAGAGGGCTTCACGCGAACTCCATGGAGAGGCTGACCTATGTCCTGAGTTTGTTGATCACAGAACCCACTGCGTGACTCTTGCCTGGGAAGGTCTAAAGATGACAGGATGCCTAGAGCTGCTTGAAGGTTCCAGTGGGCCTGTCTTGCATTTGCAGAGTCTGGGAGGGCAAAGCACTGAGCGTTTCCTGTGAGTTAGGAAGGGACACCGTGAGGTGTAGTTGCACCTGAACTATCTAGAAAGGCCTGCTTGCCGAAGGAGGTGATCCTAGCAGAAAGAGCCTATGAGGGCAGGAAATCCAGAGCTGGATCCTGGGAACTAAGGGGGCCCTGCCCCTTGCCAGCTAACGGTGCAGTGGGAGGTACTTTTGGGCAACAGGTGGGGGAACGGAGGAGGAGTACCTAGGAAGAAACCCTAAGAGCACGTCGTATCCCTCTCTGTGGGAGCACCTAGGCCAGATTACAAGTGTCCCAGTCAAAGAGACCTTTGTTCCCTTCACCCCATCTCCCTCCCTCTTTCTTCTCCCACCCACTTTTTCTGTAGGTACCCTGAGTTGGAGGAAGAAAAGATAAACCCTGTCCTCCCATTCTACTGCAGGTTTCTGAGACTAAGTTGTGAAATGTGGGGAAAGGGTGAAGCTGTAAATCAAATGAGATGTTGAAATTTTGATTTATATCAGACTGGATTAAAAAATCACTATATCATATATAAGACATTCAAAGGACATAGAAAAGTACAATATGACAAACGCCCAGGCACCACCCTCTTAGTTTAAAAAATAAAACATTAATAATGTAGTTGAGGCCCCAGTGGTTTCCTCCATGAGCACGCACTCCTCCCTCCGTCACCGAAGGGGACCACAACTGTACTTTAGCGTTCTCATGCCCTTATAATTCTTTATGCTTCCTCAACATATGTATATATCACTAAGCAGCTTGTAGAACTGTCCGTGTGCTTTTAAACTTTATAGAAATGGTGTCACACTGTAGGTACTCAGACAACCTGCTTTTCTTGCACAGCTGTATGTTTCTGAGATTTAATCATGCTCATGAGCCTAGGAGAATGAGACAAGCTATTGACCACATCAGTGACTGCGAAAGCTATAGGACCTCCCAAGGTAGAACCCAGAGTCGGGGGGAGGAAGAGCCTATCAGGCAGGGTTGAAAGACAGTGATGTCAGAAAAATAAAATTGTTTCCGGATTTCACCCCACTGAGTCCAGCTACAACTGATTTCTTACAAGGTGGTGAGAATCCTTTTTGGGGCATGAAATGGAAGTATAAATAAACAAACTGAATATGTGATTCTCATTATTGCATCATCCTTCTTTCCATGGGTAATGGGGTTGTCATGGTACATTTGGGGGCAAAAGACAAATCTCAGCAAGATCAGATCAAATTATTTTTTGTTAGATTGATAATTGACACTATTTTAAAACCTTTATTTCTTTTTATGTTAATAAAGGTACTAGATGTTCATTGTAGAAAATCTGGAAAATACCAAAAATAAAGAAAATCCACCCACAGTGCTATCATCCACAGACAACATTAGGTATATTTCCTTCCAGTATTTATTCTATTTGTAGATGTCTGGTCTAAATATTTTATAAATGTTGTATAAATATTGCTGAGGTTATTAAGTAAAGACAGCCCTATTCCCAGATATTTTTATGCATTATATATTGCTGGTTTTCCAACGATATTAAACATATTTCATACACATCATTTTTGGTGGCTACATAATATTCCATTGTAAGGATGCATCATATTATTTCCTTCATTTCCCCACCGATGTTCATTTGGGTTATTTATTTTTTTTAAGATTTTATTTATTTATTTGACAGAGAGAGAGAGAGAGAGAGAGAGAGAAGAGAGCCCAAGCTGGGGGAGGGGCAGAGAGAAAGGGAGAAGCAGGCTTCCTGCTGAGCAGAGAGCCCAATGCGGAGCTCCATCCCAGGACCCTGGGATCGTGACCTGAGCCGAAGGCAGACGCCTAACCTACTGAGCCATCCAGGCGCCCCACATTTGGGTTATTTTAAATTGATACCATGACTGAATAAAATATTGTTCTATGTAAATCTTTTTATTGCTAATTGTTTCCTCCAGTGATCTACAGCTCCTGGTGTAGTACAGACCCCATCCACAATCAACGAGTCTTTTGTCTTATGTGTAGTATAATATGTTAGAAGTGACAGTGTGTGATGTCTGAGGCTAGGCCATAAAAGGCACTGCAGCTTTGGCCTTGCTTTCTTGTTGTTCACTTTGGAGCAAACCAACTGCCACGCTGTGAGGACAACAACGTCCAGAACAGAAGAAGCGAGGTCTCCAGCCAATAGCCAACACCGGCTTGCCAAACACCGAGGATAAGCATCATTAAAATAGAATTGTTTTATCCTATGATCATTCTTTTTTTTTTAAAGAAAAGTAACACAGGTCCTTTGTAAAAAATTTATCACAAAGAGAATCCAATCATCCAAATCATCTCCTGTTCTCTCAGTATTCTATCTTTTCCTTCTTTTGAGCCACGCCTGATACATTTGTATGACCACTTTAAATGCCAGTGACATTATCGTTTGAGTTTATTCTTAGTTAAGAAAGTTCAAAAGGACAAAAAAAATTTCCAACTCTTGAGAATTTTCCTTTCCTCTCCCAATCCAGAATCCCTTTGCAGCGATCTGGAGAATCAGAGAAAAATCTCAATAATGTTATGAAGCAAGATCTATTTATAGGGAGAACCCTCATTAGGAAGGTGAATCTGAGACACTGACAACAGCAGGTTCATTTTCTAGAGCCTTACTGTATGCCAAACATGCGTGCTAAACACTTTGTACTATCTTACTAAATCCTCTGTGAGGAGGTAGGTGCTTTTTATTATTATCATCCCCATTTTACAGATGAAGAAACTAGGGCTCACTGAGATCAAGTAACTGGCTCAGATCACACAGCTATTCCATGGGGGTGCCGGGATTTGATTCCTTGTTATTGTGACCCAACAACTTATACCCTTCTGCCCCATACCACATTACCTCCCACAAGAGTGAGGGGCAGTTACTTTATGCCAGATAACTGAAGCTGAAAGGGAGTAAGGCAGGAGATTTCTTGATAAAATGGTGATCTTATTATTAGCTTGGGGGAGAAGGCATACGAGCAGGGTATGAGAGGTTAAGGGCAAGGGCTCTCAAGTCAAGGTTGTCTGCATTCACATCCCAGCCATGCTAGGTGGACTTAACTTCTCCTAACTTTAGTTTCTTCTTTTTTGTATGATGTGGGAATAATAATAGTATCGACCAAGAAATTGCTCTGAGAATTAAAAGATTTAATGCATAGGAGATGCATAGTTCAGTGCCTGACACACAGTAAATGTTCAATTAAAATAACAGCTAACATTACTGAATGCTTGTTATCAGTGTCAGCCATTCCCAGTCGGTGGCTGGGAGCCTACAGTGCTGAGGCAGTTCATCAGGCAGAGCTGGGAAGAGACTGATAACAGTGGGGGTTTACAAGGCACAGAGGGCAGGTGGGGGTCGCCGATGGGATTGATGGAGTTGTGCAACCAGGTAATTTTACCCAGTGTGGCCAACAGCATGGGATCAGAGCAGACATAGCTAATTAGGATCATGACTGGCCACAGGGGCTGAATTCTGCTGCTGTGTCTTTGAGGGACAAGGTTTGTGGTGTTAGCAAAGAATAACATATTTCTCACAAACAATCACCTACAACCAATTGCCTGGTTTGGATAAATGTGGTTTCCAGGGCAATTAATTCAGTGCCATTTGGCTGGTATCCAGATAACTGTGTTCCCCACTTCCATACCTGAGGCCAGCCAAGAACTCCATGACAGCATTGTAGTTGCCCATGTTCCAGCAGCATTTGGCCACGTGCACCAAATAGGAGAAGACTTCTCGCTTTTCCTCCATGGAGCCCGCCGTGAGGATCAGCCACGTCACCCAGGAGCTCACCTGGAAAATGTAGAGAGGGGCATCCACTGAACCCAGGTCCTGCAAACTCGATGAATATTTTTTTCACAGGAAAACTCTTTTTCTTTTTTTAAATCAATTTAGTATTAGGAAATGAAGGCCCCAGCTGAGGGATCTGAGGTGAAGCTCTAGGTTCCATCACTGCTTTGCTATGGGATTCTGGGAAAGTCACTTAACCTCTCCATATTCTTCATCTTCCATCTTTAAAATAAGGAGGCAGAAAACTATGGAAAGAGCCACCAACAGATGAATGGATAAAGAAGATGTGGTGTATATACACAATGGAATATTATGCAGCCATCAAAAATGAAATCTTGCCATTTGCAACGATGTTGATGGAACTAGAGGGTATTGTGCTAAGCAAAATAAGTCAGTCAGAGAAAGACAAGTATCATATGATCTCACTGATATAAGGAATTTGAGAAACAAGACAGAGGATCATAGGGGAAGGGAGGGAAAAATGAAACAAGACGAAACCAGAAAGGGAGATAAACCATAAGAGACTCTTAATCTCAGGAAACAAACTGAGGGTTGCTGGAGTGGAGGAAGGTGGGAGGGATGGGGTGGCTGGGTGATGGACACTGGGGAGGGTATGTACTATGGTTAGCGCTGTGAATTGTGTAAGACTGATGAATCACAGACCTGTACCCCTGAAACAAAAGATATATTATATTTTAATTTAAAAAAGTCAAAAAAAAGAAAAAGAAAATATGGAGGCAGAAATGTAATTCATAAACTCCCTCTTGATCTATAAAATTCCACGGGACTATAAGAAAATAAGGCCTAAGGATAATATTGTTTTAAAAATACATTTAAATACAGTTGACTGATGGACAGCAAGATTAATAATAACCCGCTACTAAGCCCCCCTTTCTGATATGCAGCCTCAAAATCCTCTGCTTAATCTCTAAGGTTATTTTGCTGCTATCTATACTTTGGTGCTGGGACACTAGTGTTCATTTAAGTCACTTGCTCCATCCTGGCTAATGTCTGGGCTGATAAACCTAGCTGTTAACAAACCAAAGCCTTGGTCTTGACCTCAAATGGCCCAGGAGCTGCACCGGTTCAGCAACAGTCCTGAAACCTGGGGCCAACTCATTCCCCTGGCCTGAGGGAGAGGGAGGCCTGAACTGAGTTCATGGTCGGTTACCCATAGCAACTGCAGAAAAAACAAGTTTAAGGTCTACGGTATATTGCACCTCCTGCCCGCCCCCCCATTTATAAAATGATAAGAATGAATGGTCTTTAGTGCTGACAGCAATCAGACAGGCAGTCCAAACCCATTTTTCCAGATTAAGAATCTATGGCTCAAGGGAGAAGTGATTTTCTGAGGTCCCAATTCTTGTTGACGTCAAAATGAGGACTCCCCGACGAACCATGAGAGACGATGGACTCTGAAAAACAAACTGAGGGTTCTAGAGGGGAGGGAGGGTGGGGGGATGGGTTAGCCTGGTGATGGGTATTAAAGAGGGCACGTTCTGCGTGGAGCACTGGGTGTTATGCACAAACAATGAATCATGGAACACTACATCAAGAACTAATGATGTAATGTATGGTGATTAACATAACAATAAAATATTTAAAGAAAAAAAAATGAGGACTCCCCGTGGGGTGCTCTTTTATCGGATGAGGGGTGACAGTTTCTTTTAAACTTGTCACTGATTAGGTTTTTCTAAGCATTCGGTTAAGAGCAGCACCTCTGAACACAGAGTTGGAATAAAAGGAGAAGATGCCAAGAAGAGTCCCAAAATATGATGAAAGCAATGAAAAAAGCAGAACAGAAGAGACAGGTGCTGAACACCCTTTTTCTTTCCCTACACAGAAACAACAGGGAAACAGTGGCAACAGGGACCTTCAGTGATAAGACAGGGTCACCCTGTAGTACCAGCCAGCAGTGCTGACACGCATGTGATGGACCACCTGCCACCCTGAGGCCAGCCCCAGCCCAGGGGGCTCCCAGCATGCACCTCTGCTCTCTACCTGCTCTGGACTTTGTGCAACATCAGGAGAACAGATCTGGAATCAGACTCCTAGGACCCGCCCCAGTCCAGATCATCCTGCAAGGAATTCAGAGCCTCTTGGGAAGAAGATAACCTAAGATAACCATTTGTTCTGATCTCCTGGGGCTGTTTTGAGCACCCTGGCACCTTCTGGGATTCCTAGAGCCAACCCCTCTCCTGCAGCTATGAGCAATCCCTTGCTTACTGTCTCCATGCCTTGTCCCCTCATCACCTGGTTACCGAGTTAAAAGTCACCCTGTGAGACTCTGGCTCTCTAGAACAAGAAACTGTTTTGTCAATAAAGATTGAGTGTCATTGGTGCTCGGTGCATTTCTTCCTTCCGTGTGATTTGCTTTTGATGAGACCTACCCTGCTGTGGGAAGCTGTGAGCAAACACTTAGAATCAAAAAATTACTGACTCTTTGAGCTAGAAACTCAAACCCATCTCCTTACAAATAAAAATGAATCCCCAAAAGTTAAAATGGTTCCCCAGACACCCAATGCATTAATTCTTGAGACCTCATAGAAAGAATATATTCTTTCTATGGCTTTAGCTCCTTTTTTTTTTTTTTAAATGGAAACTGATTGCAAATCAGTGGCTCTGGAAAGTCACAGCTCTTTCAGGCTATTGTGGTACACTGCGAGGACTCACTAGTCTAGTGGCCTGAAAGGGTTAATTCATTTTCCCTCAGAGAGACTGCTTCATGAGCAGGCGCAGACTACCACGTGGTTTGTGCCTCAGTCCTGATCATGCATCCAGATTTATTTCCTATCGGTCAAATCATTTTCCATATACTTTCCCACAATGCTAGGAAAAAAATAGCGATATATTTCACATGGAAACCTAATTTAAACCAGCCGTTCCATCTCTGCGTGTGAGTCCCCAGGGCCTGGTTGTTGGGATTATGTAAGCCCTGTTATCATAAACACACACACACACGCACACATACACACACACACACACACACACACACCATCTGCTTACAGACATCAGGGATAATTCTTATTGTGGCCTAATGTATTCATAATTTCATGGGCATTAAGTGATGAGAGTTTCATCACTAATTATGAAAAATAAATGTCACCAAAAAACCCCACAAGGATTTGGCAACGACTGAAAAATGTTGCCCCAAAGCATAAATGGTGGTTGTATTTACTAAGTGAAAAACAGGATGTGTTGCCAATCTAGAAAGAATTTCAGGACACTGAATTCACACAGAAAAACACAAAAATCACATACATAGAAAGTACTACAACTCAAGCATAGGGAACATGTTAAATGATTATTTTGCCTTATTTGAATGGTCAGCACAGAACAAAGACAGAATCTGGCCCCCAGCCCAGTTCTGTAAGAGTTCCTTCGGAGGCTCTGTGCTCCCCCTGAGGGCCCGACCCAGGTTCATGCCTACAACTTCTCCACAAGTGCTCCTCTCCTGACGTGTCTTTTCTTCCTCTCTTGCCTTTGTCAGAACTCTTAGACCTAGCCAAACTGAACAGCTTGCTCTCCTCACATCAAACACCTTGTTGGCATCACACAAGCTCAGTTTGGAAGGAATGTTCTTGCTCAATTCATAATTACCTTTCCCTGGCCCACCATGTCCTGCCCATGTCCTTTGTAAAGCCAAATCCTTACATTCGCCACCAGGCCCCTGTCGGTTCTCCAACCTCCCCCTTACCTATGCTTTTAGGAAGATGACTAAGGCCTTTTCTCATTTCAGGGGTCTTCTATGGGAAGGCTTCCGCCCACTCCTGACTTTGATTTAGCTAACCCCTACTTATCATTTAGGCAAAACTTCCCTCAGACTCTGCCATCAGGATCCTTGCCCTGGGCCCCATGCTTTAGAAGGCCCATGTTGGGGTGGAGGGAAGTGTCTGCCCAGTGGCTGTGTACCCAATTCCAGATCATTCATCCCTGTAGACCCAGGACCCCCAAATCCCCCATCCAAACAGCTCAAGCCCACTTCTGGCATCAGTCCTCCTGTGGGTAGATCATGACACTAGGCCTGAAGGCTGGCTGGGGGGCAGGGGGTGTGGTGTGTGGATGCAGTTTGAACTTGAGGTCTGAGGTATCCATATACAGGTATACACAAGCCAGCATGGAAAGAGAAGGTGAGCAGGTCACAGGCTGGGGCCTTCTTTGTACTTCCTCCTGACTCCCCTAAACTTAGAGGCAGGGCTGCCTTTAGGAATCCAATGAAAAGCATCACTTTCTTGAGGAGGCCTGCTCTGTGATGCCCCTGGTCTCCCTGACCCCAGACCCCCTACACAATCAGCACCGTGTTCCTCAAGAGTGCACACCAGTAGCAGTGCCTATGGCAAGCGCTCCATGAGATCTGGTTAAGGAGACAGTGTGACTTCCTCTAGGAAGGCTGTTCTGATGGCTCACCTGGCAACTCACATCCAACTTCTTCCTGTTTCTCCCTGACTTAATGTCAGACTTTGAGACCGAGCTTAGGTCTGCACTGGGATTCTCATTACTGCAAGGACTTGCATCTGCTTTATTTTTATTTGTGTGTCTGACTCTTTCACATGGGTCTGTTCTGTCTCCACTACCAGATCTTACGTCCTCAAGGACAGAGACCATCTTTCCCACATCTTCAGTGTGGGGGTGCTCGGTGCCTCTGACCACCAGGCAGGCCACCCAGAGTCCCAGGAGGCCACTGGCAGAGAGGATTCTCAGCCTCTAATCGGTCAGGGATTATATTTGGGAAAAGGCCTGAACACTTCCTACTGCTGTTCCCAGGTCCAGAAAAAAGAGACAAACGTCTTCGTGCCAAAAAGTTTTTTTTAATATGCTGAGCGATTTTCACAGAAAGATGATCCTTTACAGTGGGTATCTGGTCACCCTGCCTGCAAGGGCTGGATTCGAATGGTGAGATCCACAGAAGACAATGAAAACCTGGACAAAGGTGTTCTGAAGTAGCTTATGGGCAGTGGCCAGTGACACCTGCCCTCCACGGAGCTTTCCTAAAACAACCCTTG